TAAAAACGGTCTACCCAGAACCATGCTTCAAGAACTCCGAAGGCGGAATCCGCAGCTATTAATGACAAGGGGATTGTCCCTTACTAACCTTCATCTACCCGGGTTTTGATTGTGGCTGGCGGTAGCGGCGCTGTCTATCCTCCAGGGCATTGCCTGGGAATCAAGGAGTGAACCCTAAACACGAAAGAAGGGCCACAAGGGTGTCGACCTGCGAGGTAAGTACAGCGACTCTAGCCTCACAGGCCGCGGGCAGAATAACCTCTGAATACTGCACCTTGCACGGGGGCATCCTGCGAAGCCTGCCGAGCCTCGTCCAGGGAACTGTGAAACCACAGAGCACGCAACGGGGCTCGCAAGGGTCCCAATCGGTGCCATAGCAGTGGGAGAGCCCGGGGGCGCCGGCCAGACGACTGGCCCATCCGGTCATAAGATGTTTTCTTCGACCTATACAAAACCGAAGTCTTCGCACAGAGGAGTTCCCGAGTGCTTCGCGCAGCTGCCCGGCGTCCAAGCTGTAAAGGAAGTGGATCGGCACCACCTCAATGAGGTGCTCTCTCAAGAGGTTCTTGCATGCATCCAGACGATCCTGAATCGTGGTCAAGGCATCAAATATGATGCAAGGGCGGTCATGGGTCTGGTTCAAGCCGGGAAGAACCGGGCCCGCCATCTTATCATTCAAACGAGATCGAACCACCAGGGAGGCAAACACCGGCGAAGACCTCCAGCAGGTGATAGACGCGCCAACCTGCTCCATAGTGACATAAAGCTTACGCAGTGGCCTGCCCAGCATAAGATATTCCTCATTCAAGTTGACCAGAACTTTAGTCCCAATGTTGATGCCGTCGTGCCGTGGAAGCAACAGCCCAAAGGGCAACGTCGGCAGCGGAGGCCAAGACTGACAAAGCTCCAACATGTCCGGCTCGGTTTCAACGCCAATCGGAATCCCTTGCATTTTGAGAATACCCAGACACAACATCCGGATCTTCCATTGGGCCTCACGAGCAGTCTTGATCTTCCGCAGGAAAGGCGCTTTGTCCCCTGCAATAAAGATGAAGAGCAGCAAGGCCTCAATCCAAGTATGCCTTCTTGAGAGGGTTTCAGCTTTGCCTTTGTCAAATATGCACCAGTCAAGCATACCCTGAAGGAGGTGGAAGTCTTCAATACACCCACCCCAGTACCACAAGTTAGCTTTGATCGCCATCAAATCAGGGTCGATAGTCAAAAATTGTCCCCTTTTAAGAACCACGTGGCTGTGGAAGGGGGATCTGAGCAAGTAAATATCTTCCGGCTGAGCGTGCTGTCGATCAGCACGTTCAGACTGCATCGGAGCATGATCAAGCTGAATATTGTAATCAATTGTACGGAGATCGCGGTGACGAGCTTCCCATTTACCAAGGAGGTCAACCGCTTGTCGTTGAATCGTACCCCATTTAGCCTGAAGCCTAGGGGGAAGGTCCTTGCAGAACACAAGAAGGTGTTGCGAACAGGGGCTCCACTGCAACCAGGATTCCCAACCTTCATCCCATTGACTGCGCAGATCGGCCCAAAAAGGGCATTCCCAAAACAGGTGCGCCATAGTCGCGTCATGGTGTCTACATTCTCTGCACTCTGGAGTATCAGTGAACTTCTTGACAAATTGCACGTGGAAGGAATTAATCCCGTTGATCAGCACTCGAATGAGCTTTTGTTGCACGGGGTGCCCTTCAGGCAATAAGTGAAGAAGCGCAGTGGTTGTGCCGAAATCGTGGTTGCCGATTCCCTTCCAACAGGTGGAGTTGCACTGTTCCAACTCAGAAGCAATCTTGTTACGGAAGGAATGACTAAGAGCCTTGCTCATAACTTTGCAGTCGCTACTTCCAAAGGTCCAAAGCAATTTACCCTCATCGTTGCTAACTTGCAAGTTGTCAATATTCAAATGAAGCTGCAAATATTCCAAATCCTTCTTAAGCTGGGAAACAGGGCCAATCTTCTTGATAGAGGGGAGAGCTTTCTCCCAGCTCTGAATCACTGCATCCTTGAAGGCGGGCCTCTTGAAGGCATGATTGTTCCAGAAGAGCAGGTTCCTCCAGACAAAGAAAAACTCAGGGTCCATAAGCAAGTAGTTCTTCTGAAACAGAATTCGAGCCGAAAAGGTCCCAAGCTTGCTTGCGTGTGCCGCAGTACGAATAGCCGTGCGAAGCTGCCTGAGCTGATCCTTAGTCGGTCTCAGTGTAGCGCCTGCATACGTAAGCATGGGAATAATGACCGTGCGGACAATCATATTGGTGGTGGCCGCAGGTTGGTTGGCCCTTGCAAGCAATTGTAGCGCGGTAATAGCTCTGTGTATTTTCTTTTCAAACCAAGTCTTAGAAGAAAAGAGCCCGATGGCCAGGGGAACACCAAGGTAATCAACCGATTTGACTTCCTTGACCACTTGCCCATCCCGCCAACAAAGCGGCGTGGACTTCTTCACATCTCTGATTTGACAAGTCTTTATTTGCGTGCGAAAATTATGAAGCGTATCCCAGGCCTCGGTCCGTCCAAAGGCTTGCTGGAGTTCATTCGAGTCACCTTCCGTGAAAAGAAGCCTATCATCAACATACACATAATTGTAGACAGCGCTGTTGAGATCTCTTGACCATACCGCCAGCACCAGGCTAGCGGCAGCCATACTGATGGGGTCACCCTGAGGCAACCCGATCGTCCCAAGAACGGGCCGTCTGGCAACTATGCCTGAGGTGGAAACGAATCTCCTCATGTGCCTGATGGAGTGAATCCAGGTGCCGACAGCCGCCTGATGCATACCCCATTCGGATAAGGCATGACAAGCGAGCCAGTGTGGGATACAATCGAAGAACTTGACTGTGTCGATTGCCACACCATGAAATGAGAGGCGCGTCTCATTCTGGCATTTCTCAGCCGATAGAGAGGCGTGCAGCCAAGCCTGGTAGCCACTGCGCTGAGGTACACCCCCAATGATGTTCTCAGGGAGATTATCAAAGGAAATTTCACCACACTTCAAAAGCCACTTGTGGAAAATGCGCAGAGCCGTGACTTCGATAGTTATGGGTCTCATGGCATCGAGATCAAAGCCGGCTTCACCTTTCGGAATAACCACAAGTTTAGCATTAAGCCAGTGCTTGGGAACCCTTCCGCAAATAACGCAGAGCATAAATAGACTGTGCAGGAAATCCACGCCCCTTGGCGGAAGCTTTTTGAAATGCGCGTAGGTCCAACCACCAAGCCCCGGCGACGAGATACTTTTCCCGTTTCTAAGGATCTGCTTGAGGTGTTTCACATTCCACATATCTGCAGGGACTTCGTGGTTGGCGTTGCCTACATCCCAGGACATTTGGTCATCATGCTGGTAAACTGAAGCAAAGAAGTCGCGGATGACATCCACCGTCTCTTGAGGGGTCTTGGTCCAGCCATCATTCGCTTTGATAAAAGGGGGGGGCTTGCGGGTCGGGTTCCTAACCCATTTGCAAACGTCCCCAATCCATTTACTCTTCTGGGACTTGTCGCCGGGCTGCTGCATTCTGTGCTTCCAAGCTTGAAGTTTGTCAAGCGAGGGTTGACCCAGCTCAAGAAGGGCTTCACGGATTTCTTCGTGCTCCTGAGCTTCACTGGATTGTGCAATAAGCTTCCTGTGAAAATCGCTTTCTGCTGGTTTTCCCAATGCATTTTGACTCCCAGGCCAGGGACTCGCATGAAGTTCGTATGGCCGTTCCAGAAACGAAACATAGTTGAGGCGAAGATGGACCAGCACATATCCACATCAAATTTCTCATAAGCCACACACCATTCATCTTGCAACTCATCCCAGACTTCGGTGTGATTTCCACACTGCTCGTTGATGTGATATCCTTCAATCTGCAAGTATTGATGCACTTCGGCGTTCCAATTGAGCTTGGTCGAGATGATGGCGTGCCCATTGTCGTAGGGGAAAAAGGTGATTGGAGGACCGAATTCCATTCGAACGTCTTTGTGACAAATAATGTCATCAATCTTCGTCTTGGATTGAGCTCTCTGAAAGGTGTAAGGATCGGGACCAAGCATGTCCGTCAACTTGGAGTACATGTCCTCGAAGAGGAGGTCCATGTCCGTCCCCCACAGTAGGGGACTATTGAAGTCTCCAGCAATGGAATGAGGTTGGACCTCCTGCGCATCGGCGGCGAGGTCCCGCAGGAACTGGAAGTTCTTCTGCGGGTCATCAGGAGCATAAACATTCCAAAGCGTCCTCCAAGTGGTACCGTCGAAGAAGTTGACAGCCAGGAATCTTCCCTGCTCGTGCCAGTACTCCATCCTTGCAGGTGACGGGCCCACGTGGGCCGGAATCTCCTTCTTGATAGCGATAGCTACTCCAGGGCACTGCTTGTGATGCAGACCAACTTTGCCACAGCCTTTCTTTTTCCAAACCGGGCACTTGCCAAACAGGAGTTGGTAACCTGAAGAGTCGGCCGAGTTAGCAAACAATTGAGCTTTGCGAGAGTCAATCCGGGTTTCTTGTAAAGCAAGGATGGAAAACCCCATGCTGAGAACCATATTGAGCTTGTCCGAGAGGCTGTTGAGATTCCATGTACCAAGGAAGACTTCACTTGTCATACCTCCAACCATGGAGAAAATACAATACAATAAACGGGAAACTGGCTCCTGAGGAAAGGAGCCTCCATTCATATCCGCACGGTGAGTCCCTAGTCAAGGCTGACCGGGGAACCCATCATCTTCGAAAAGGGAGGACGCCGCAATATCCTCTTCCATCTGTTCTTCCTGCGCCTGCAACTCCGGGGACTGGAGCAGGGATTGAAGAGCCTGTAGCTGTTCCGTCATGGCCGCAATCTGCTCCATGATCTGCCCTCGAGACATAGTGCCTGTCGCTCCCTGAGTCTGCGTGGAGCTCTTGGTAGGAGTGCCAATCCGAATCCTCTTCTTGGGACCTTCATCAACCAAGGGGGCATTCCACCAAACAGAGTGTGAAGGACCGTCCTTTTTGGCAGCGCTCGACCCATTCCCTTTGCCTTTCTGAAGCTGGCTCTTGAAGGACGGGTAGTTGACGGGATCAGTTTTGGGGGGGTCAACCCTAGGGGCCGGCACAACGCTTCGGACAGTGGGCTCAACCGTGACAACTCTTCTCTCATAGCCAAAAAAGAAAGGGGCCGAAGTCAAGGGAGGATTCTGGCTGCTCCGAACCAGATACTGTACTCCTCCATTGCGGAATCTCCTGCTTCCAGGCTGCACTTCTGCTTCCCAAGCCATAGCTTGCAATAGTTCCATGACATCCTCTGCGACAAAATACTGTGGCAGGCCGAAAATGTGAAACAGTGGCGTGCTGACCTGTCCAAGGGCCTCCTTGGTCTTGTGAAAATCAGCTTGTGACACTCGCAGCGCATAACAGTCTTGTTTTGATTGTGGCTCATTTGCGTTTTCGTCCCCTGGAAAAAATGAGAAAATATGTCCAGCAGTGATAGATTCCCTGTTAAAAACAACAGGGGACGGTTTCTACCCGAATCGGTTTCTCCTGTCGTCCGGGGCAGCTTTCGGAAGCTCCAGCCCTTCCCACGGCTGGCCGAGCTGCGGATGAGGTCCCGGGCGAAGCGCAAGTTCCGCGCCCCCCAGCCTGGCGGAGGCAGCTTTGAGGGTAAGGCCATGGCCGTGCCGAAGCTGTAGGGAGCTACGCCATGCCTTGTGTATCAAAAAAGCAACTGAGGGCGCATTTGTTTGTAAGACAAAGAGACAGACAAACAAACAAACAAACAAACGAACGAACAAACCAACAAACAAACAAACAAACAAACAAACAAACAAACAAACAAACAAAACAAACAAAACAAACAAACAAACAAACAGGCAAGCAAGCAAACAAACAAACAAGCAAATAATAAGTCAAACAAGCAAACACACAAACAAACAAACAAACCAATCAAACCAAACAAAACAAACAGACAAACAAACAAACAAGCAAGCAAGCAAGCAAACAAACAGACAAGCAAACAATCAATCAAACAAACAAACAAACACACAACCAAACAAACAAACAAACAAACAACCACAAATCAAACCAACAAAACAAACAGACAGACAGACAGACAACCAAACAAACAAACAAACAAACAAACCAAACCAAACCAAACCAAACCAAACCAAACCAAACCAACAAAACAAACAGACAGACAGACAGACAAACAAACAAACAGACAGACAGACAAACAAACAGACAAGCAAACAAACAATCACACAAACAAACAAACACACAAACAAACAATGTGCCCCATGAAAACCGGAAATCATCAAAGGCTTCCGCGCGCAAGAGTTGAGTGAGACCATCATGACACCACTCTTTAGTGACATCCGCTAAACGCTCGACTCGACATTTGGTGGTTTCACGGGGGGTTGCCATTTGCAAACCCAGGATGCAACCACGTACGCAGGCCTTGGGCTGCGTCTGGAAAGCATGCGTAAACACATGTCCGCGCGGCGATCAAAAAGGACATTCCGCCATCGGTATGCTATAGCAAGCCCTCGGAATGCACCTTCTCAACATTTCTCAGCCATAGCTCCAAAGTCGTAATGTTTCAGTACGCTAGCAATACACAGAATACACTTGCGCCGCTCCAGATCGAAAGTCGCAAGCGCTCCAAACCCACACTAAGCACCCTAAACCCGCACCAAACATACCCACACTGAGCATACCCTACCCCCCCAAACCCACCCTAAAGCAACCAAGCAACCCTAAACCAACCCTAAACCACCCCTAAACAAACCGAGTAAGCTTTCTTCGCTGGACAGTTGCGACTGTCGAGCTGAGGCTGCGAAAGTGCAATTTGAGGCCTATCTGAGAAGGTCTGACTTGGAGCTGGGGCTGCAAACTGCAAAAACGCATTTTGTTTGCTTGCTTGCCCGCCTGCTTGCTTGCCGGGTGGTGGTGGACAACAACACTATCCAAGGCAAGAAAAGCAACTGACATATATTTCCGTATCAAATGTTTGGACCCTTTTGAACATGGCATGTAACTGGCAGAAAAAGCAAAAAAGCGGCAAGCCCGTGATAACCAACAACAAAATGAGTGTCTTTTTATAGGGTACCCCTTGTTTGCCAACAGGAAAACCCGCGATTTGGATTCAGTAGGTGGGGTCGCTTAAAACAAAACCACGCAGCAAACTATATTTCACCAGCCTCTCTTGGCAACCAGCTTGTCAGCTTGTGCGCAAGCGCCAGCTCTCCGCAATATTGCTTGCCCCAAAGAAAGGATTGGCCACTGGCCGTTCTCTGTTTTGTTCTCAGTTTTGAATTTTATTTCTATGAAGACACACAAACACACGTCCACTACCCAACTGCAACTCGCTTTGTGAGTACCAAGTCCGTTCATGAATGCTACTTCCCCTTGGCTGAGTAATGTCTTCCTTGGACTGCCCAGTGCTTTTCCCGCGGGAAAGTTATCTCACTTTTAACGACTCGTTCAGCCTTGTAGATTATATATATATATACATATTATGATACTCGTACTATATCTATATACTATAGTACTCTTGCCGAATACTGCTGTCCTCTAACTCTTCCCTTAAACTATCCACCGCTTTCCCAACCCCAAGAGCTCTTAATCTTCAGAGCAACAAAAAGGACATTCTTCGGAACCTCGGCCTGGTGTCGAAGGATGCACGTTAAGCACTCCATGCGTTCATCATTTATCTTCAGAACCCAGAGGCTCCCGATGTATTTAGGGCCCTCAAACAGCCAGGTTTTGAGACCCCCCCAAACACCTCGGTCGGGTCTTCCATTGATTGCCCCAGGAGCCTCTGGGAAAGCTGTGAGAGCGATGTACATACTGTTTTCCCGGAAAACATGTTTGCTGTCAAGCGCACCTGCAAAACGCATCGAGTTGTCCAACTAACGCGCCCTCTGCCGGCATTGACGGAAGGGTGTCCAGGAATTCGATCACCCCGTCCCTCTGCCTGCTGTTTTGCACCTCTCAACCCATCATCATCACCAATTGGGTATGATGTTTAAGAGGGAAGCGACTCCACAACGGTTGGACATGAACTTTGACATCACAAAATGGGCATGATCTTTTACATGGAAGCCCCTCCAAAATGATTCTGGTTGGACATGCACTTCCAAAACGACCCCCATGGCGGGGCAACAAAAACCTTCTCGATCCTCACCTTGAGCACTGGGGAAGTAGATCGTGAAGTTGGCCCAGACCCTGCCGAGAAATGCGACTCTCGGGCAAGCGGGCAAGCGGGCAAGTCAAACCCTTAAGCCAACGAAGCTATTGAACACTGACCGCATGCGTTCTTGTTTAAAGGGGAAACCCAAAGTGGTGAAATCGTATGTTTGGCGTCCCTCTAAAAAACAACAAGTGCTTTCCGGTTGGCTTCACCTTTTTCAGGCACCCCCAAAAAACGCTTCCCTCAGTTTTGACCACTCTCGCTTGCCAGGACCATATCAAAGATTCAGCTTTTGGAACCTTGACTGGACCAAATCAGCGAAACCAGAAGGTTGAAAGGTCGATAAGTGAGGTGCCACTTCCTGTACACTTGGCCCCAGCAGGTCGAGTTCGCAATGCTTTTGCTGCCACTGGGTCTGCCTTCTGGTTTTCAGGGTACCTTTTTGTGGGGAAAGCAAAAGGAACCCCACCGTTTCGAGGGAGTGCTCTAAACAACAGGAGCATGTCTTGGACCCGGGATCTGTTTGCAGGATCACTGTGCAGCATTTTCGGCTGGAAGTTGTTGCCACCAAAACAGATCAACCCAACAAGGGAAGCAGAAAGCGCTTGGAATGGAACCCAATGCTTGGTGTGGACAGTTCTGAAACCTAGTTCGAAACAAAGGAGATTCAGGATTCCGGAGTCGGGTCAAAAGAAAACCAACCAGGGTTCTCCCGTGAGACAAACCCCTAGGGGTCGGTCTTCTTTTTAGGGAAAAAGAAGTAGGTGTTCGACGGAAACCAAAATAATTAAACACCACCAGTTTGGAGGGGTCCCGTAAAACAAGGAAAGAAACAAACCCATATTTGAAGAAAAACCCATAGTTTTACCGGCGCAAGGGCTGGCGTTTGCCATTTTACTAGGTGACCAAGCAACAACGAGGCCCGCCCGCTCAGTAAAAAAGCCGAGGCCGACCTTCCATACGTTAGTTTCTCTTGCTCCTACAAAGGGACGTGTCTGGGTTAGGGCCCAAAGCTTTGTGCCCCTTGGGCACGTGGCCCCCCAAAGGATTGCTTAAGGGCTGGGTCCCTGTCCAAGGAACATATGGCCATGGGTCAAAACCCCGCACCCCCAGTGAGCATGCCAATCCCCACTAAAAAAGACTAAAATGGGTGGTGCACCTACCCCAAAATGGTGCCATTGGTTTTGACCCACAGACATATCATGCCTCGCGTTTCCTTGGAGGCGTTCCAATTCCCAACAGACCTCAAAAGCCCAAAATGGACCAAACAATACCCCTTCTTTCGGCAATATTGTCACTCTCAGCTTTGCCCATGGTGTGTTTCAAAGGGATATGGAAAGGGTATGGAAGTGGGACAAATAAAAGGTCCATCACAAGGGCCCATGAGATTTTGCCCAGAACTTTGGACCAGTTGAGATGGATGAAGCACGACAAATGCTGGGATAAGCAGCTTACCAACTGGTGCAAAATCTTGATCGCACCTATTGACGGCTGAGAACCATAAAGGGGCATAAGCTTCCTATGTCTCCGAAGTTGCTGGACTTGGGTCACTGATAAGACCAATTGAGTTGTAAACAAACAGTTGTTTTTAGTGTTTTTTGTTGCCTTATGTTTTTCTTCCGGGCATTGAGCCCAGCATTCCGTCCTTTTTCGGAGCAAGGCATAGATTGGACTAGAACTCAGCAAGCGCAGCACGTGAGTCCAAATGAAGTGCCACCGAGAGAACCGCCCAATTTGCCCCCCCAATTTGGATTACGCACTTCCTGGTTGAAATCTCCAGATGTGTGCTGGTGGGACCCATTGGTTGGGCATGCTAGCTGGTTGTTGCTCACTATAATTCACGCCTGCAAAGCAGAGGAGTTCAAATTGAAGCATGCCCCCACACTGGACACGAGCACCTGATCTTAGACAGATAGCAGTGGCTGGAGGAAACCTGTTTGAGACTGCATGTCATTTGATGCGACAGTTGAAAGGAGTCAGCATCATACTCGCCTGCAAACTCACCATGGAACCCAAAAGGGGGGTCTCCCAAAGGAGTTTCCCAGTCTGGGCCACTAGAAGCTAGCGATGAGTTCCAGTAGGGGGGAATGTCTCTCTAGAAAACCGAGGGACGGTGTCAAACTAGGACCCCTAAAAAAAGCGTGGCGTTCCCTTTAAAGCCAACCCCAACAAAAGCCAACACACACACACACCCATACGGGACCTTGTTCTTTAGACCCCAACCTGCTTCTTTAGGGACAATGAACCAACGGGTGTTGATGGTCAACAAGCCCGCGAACCAACAGGTGTTTGTGGTCAGACAACCAATTTTCCCCAAGCTGGTTCTTTGGGACCAACAGGTCTTGACGTCTTGATGGGTCGACAGAACCGGTCCCTTTAAGTTTTGGACAGGAGAAACGAATATGGCGATGGCTCAAAATCCCGCACCCCCAGTGAACATCCCAATCCCCACTAAAATGGGCTCTAAAATGGGGGGTGAATTCACCTACCAACCAAAATGTGATCCCATTGGTTTAAACCCAAATGGTCAGGACTCCTGGGCGTCCTTTTCAGAAATCGATGGGTTTCCCTGGTAGATGAGCAAAAACCACCAGGTAAACCAGGAATCCCCATCCATCTACCACCAGGTAAACCATCGGATCCCATTTGTTTTGACCACCACTCCATACTGTGGATGGACGAACTCCTGCACCATCTAAGATCCCTGCAATGATGATTCCCCCGCAAATACCAAGAAACGTTATGGTTTCAACCATGGTTTCGAAGTGGTGCGAAATGGATCGTGTCCATCCACAGTATCTCCCCTCGTCCAAACCACGGGGCCCCTTGACTCCGTGCCTGGGGTACATGGACATCTCCCGGGGCGGCCGGAAGGGAAGCCCCCCGACCTCAAGCCGGCGAGACCCCATCCAGCTAGGGCATAGGCGTCCTCTGGGAAAAACAGATGATCGGTTTCCCGGTTCTCCGGGTAACTGGAATTAAAACACACTTGAACCAGTGGAACCCAGCTATTGTGAATCCAACTGATGGGGTTCCCTGGAAAATTGGAAAAAAAAAATAAAGCAGTGGAACCCAGCGATTTCTAATCCAACTAACCTAAAAAGGACGCCCATGTTGCCGAGTGTCCAGCATAAAATCAAAGTACCGGTATGAGGAAATCTAAATACCGGTATTCAGACCCAGGATCCAAGATCAAATATCTAATATTCGTGGAGGACTTTTGAGATCAATCTTGGATCCATCAGTGAAACCGCTGAAATCTTAATACCTGATGTGTGGTTTCGAGATTCCAGGGGATGTTTTAGAGGCAATATTGGACCTATGAGTGATACTGCTAAAACTGAAAACCAGTACTTAGATTTCTACATGGCGTACTTAGATCCTGGGAATCGTGGATCCGTAAATGTTCCACCCTGCATCTAAATACCGGTACGTGGATTTCTAAATACCCCTTGGATCGAAGATCCACAAGCCAAGATTTGTGGGGGCTTTTGGGGGATCCATAAGTGGTCCAAACTAAACTTATGATTTGTTTAGCCAGCCAGAGACTGGAAATATTGAAATATTTTTCAAAAAATATTCGATTTGGTAATTATTAATCCTCAAACCTATCCAAAAATCATCCTACAATCATCCTCTGCAAAAAAACCAAACCAAACCGAACCGAACCGAACCAACCCAAGCAAAACCAAGCAAAACCAAGCAACCAACCAACCAACAAACAGACCGAGCCGAGCCGAGCCGAGCCGAGCCGAGCCGAGCCGAGCCGAGCCGAGCCGAACCCACCAGCCAACAAACACACACACACACACAACACACACACAACAATACATTGGAATTACTATTACATTTGCAATTGCAATACAACACAATACAATGCAAACAATCAACTAATCAACACACAACAGCGCACAATGCGGCAAAGACACAAACCCATGCGCGCTCAGACTTGCGAAACGTCTAGGGCCAAGCCCACAAAAGCGTACGGCACCAGTCCGAAGCGCCAAACTTTAAGGAGTGCATGCCAGCCGAAAGGTCAGAACTGGCCAAGGTTGGGTTGGCTCGCAGAACCCCCTGCAGATTGACATAACACCACAAGCACAAGGGGAGTACGGATTGTGCAAAAGCTGTCCTCGGCAACCTCGGGGATGCCAATATCTCGTAAAAACTTCCGTTAAATTAACCCAAGCGGGGGCAAGCTTTGTTGGGTTGCTTTCAAGGGGAACCAGAAGGAAACCCACCCGTTTGGGGGTTCTAACCATTTTAAGACACGCCCATGCCTACATGGGAAACATGTTGTTTGAGACTCGGTGGAAAGCCCCCACTCTGCGAGGGGCCCACTTGGCAGCCTCTTGAGCGTGGTTCTGGGGTTGAGAGGTCAGAGTATTCTGGGCTGTCCGTTGTCTGATCCGCTAAAAGCTTTTTCTAATTCCGAGATCCAAACCACTAAACACTAAAAAGAGTTATAAAAAAAAGGAACCAAATAGCTGAGAACCACCCAGTATTTCCTTCTGCTTATGGGGTCTGTGTGTGGTGACTTTTCTATCCCATCCGTGGAGACAAAACCTCCAAGGGTTTTTGTTTTACACCCTATACACCCACTGGGTATTGACCCCATTTAGGTTCATGTCCGGATAAAACCGAGTTATATTGAACCATTCCAGGGGTCATTTCCCAAGACTGTAATCCCAGGGTGAAATACAAAAACCCGCGGAAAACCTACGTCCTCCCGCCGGCAAAGCCGAAAAAACCACGGCCGAGTCAAGTTGGAACTGGTTCTCCGAGCTCGGGGCCAGCAAGTAGTAGAGCATCATGCCCACGGACCAGCAGTCGCACTGCCGGCCTCGCAAACCAAAACTCGCAGAAAACGGAGAAATCAACGGGAAAAAACGGGGGGAGGGCGAAAGGGGAAAAAAACGGGGGACCTCTAGGCCTCCAGATGCCGCGAGTAGGGGTCTTGGAGCGCTTGGAGGGGTTGTAGCTGTTGCACAGGGTCCCTGGCGGAGAAAGAGAAAAAGAAAGAGGGGAATCAGCAAAATACTGGCCTAATTCAAAGCATCCGAATCCTAGCAACCGGTTTGTGGATGAGCTTTTCAAAACCTAAACCTGTGCATGTTTTTTAATGAAACCAGGGGGGCCCTCCTTTTTGGGCAGCAAAAAAAAAAACATTTCCAAAAGAGAAGGGGCCACAAGTGCTGACACGTTGAACTAAGTTGCAAACTGGGGTTGGAAGGTGGGGAGGTTTCCCAGCCGAGGGTCACCATATCCACCAGCACCACCCTATTGAAAGCACAAGCGGAGACTTCACCAACCACTGGCTCCCTTCCCTGAATTGTTGAGTTGGATTGGTGCGGAGTGGACTTGGATTTGAGCCCTTGGCTCTTCACTGTAAATGGAAAACCACTTCCTCCAACGAATCCAAGCCGAATGTATCTGGGTGAATTATAATATTTCACCAGCCTGAAATAAGGTGGTTGGAGGAAAATTCCCATCATAAACAACACCATTTGGGGTGAATTCGGTCGTGTGAGGTCGATATAATTCACCCAGATTGTATAGGAAGCTGTCCCTGTGCCCTGCTCAAACTTCGGAACACTTCTGCCGGGCTGTCCCGCCGTAGACGCCGCCCCAGACTTCGGGCGCCATGAACTCCGGCGTGCCGCCCACGCGGGACATGCCGGTGCTCTCCTGCAAGGACTGCAAGTGCAGAAGCTGCAAACCATTGCCCAGATTCTCTCTACTGGACTTGGTTGGCGTTGGGTTCGGGGAGCAAGAATTCTACAATTTCAGCAGTTCAGTGGTTGGATTTCAACCACTCAACCACAGTTTGCGCCAAAAATGGGGGGGGAAACCATGTAAATCCCAACGACCACCATGTGGAGGGCCTAGAACCTACCAGAAATCCACTTCCGGTGGCCCATTTGTCATGACTCACTGGTCACAGGTGAGCCACGTGCTCAAGACCGATTCGGGTAGATGAAGGTTACATTTTGGCACAAGCCCCAAAGGCCACAGGTGAGCCACGTGAAGGTAACAAAGGCACAATCCCCTTGCCAGAAATAGCTGACATCCGCCTTCTCAACTCTTGAATGGTTCTGGGTAGACCATCTTAATACCGGGTTTTGATTGTGACTCAGAGGAAGGTTCAAGCCAGTGCGAGTGTGGGGGTCTGCCAGGCGTTTTTTAACAAAGGAGGTTTAGCCTTTGACGCTGGGCTTAAAAGCGATGAAACCATGTGACGTTTTCGGAAATTGATGGCCCTGGCAATAAATAGAATAAAACCAATCCAAGCCAGTGGAACCCATTTATTTCTACGCAAACTGCTGTTTCGTGCGAAAACGGAAAAGGGGCACCCTGGGCTTGCCACAAACACACAGCATCGGGCGATGTTTCTTTGTAAAAGCCAAGAAACCGACCCAAAACAAAAACAAAAGGAGGTTCTTCAAGCCAAGACGAACCTTGAGGGGAAGTCAAAAGCAGGTCACGAGCAACCAGCCAGGGCTGGTTGGAGGGAAGCCAAATCCAACAAGTCGAAGCCGAGGATCTCAAAAGCTGGGCCAACGCCGCTGAGCTTCGAGGGTTCAACCCCTTGGGTGGGCCGTGGCAACCAAAAAACAAAAAAAAACAGAAGTCCAAAATGGGTTGCAAGCCCGATCGGTAAGTGGAAACATGGGTCACCCAAACCCTGCGGTTTGAATTTGCCCCTCCGATCGTTTAATTTTGAGCGTTCGGAACCTGGAAAGAGACCGACGACTGCTTGAGCGAGTGTGCAGCTGAAAAGGGCTGGATGGCTGAAGAAACACCGCTATGAGGTTGCCATGTGCGGAGAGGGAAAACCGGCAAATATCTGCTACTCATTTTCCACCCTGGTGGTTTGTTCATAGGCTCGCAGCATATCTCGGGCCAGGTGAGGAAGCTGATCCCCAGCAAAAGCTTGAGCAAAAAGCAGTGGATGTTCCCAGCCCAATTCAAATCTGGGGGTCCCGTGAAAACTCACTGGCCCAAGGGGATCAAAAGCACAACTGCATTTTTTTTCCGAATTCCGAATGGTTCACCCATTCCTTACCTTCAACTCACCCGCAAGAAAAGCATTTCAAGCATTGGAAGCACCAAAGACGGTCGGTTGAAGTCGGGCCCCCATTCCCTGTGAATCCAGTTAATTACCCCTTTGGTTGCTGACCAGGGACAGCCACCATAGAACGTATGGGTGTGTCTTAAAGTATACGGTTTGCCCCCCCGCAATGCTGGTTCTCCTTTTGGCACCCCTTTGAAACCACCTCAAAATGGGCTTCCCAAAACAAGGAACCACACCATATAGAGGTACACATCCTGGTAGGAGTTGCTTCCCTGCGCTTTGTAACTAACCATGGTTCTTTTCAAAGACTGTCGCCTTATGGCTCCGAATCAACTGTAGAGTTGACCCGCGCACCGGGGTTGTAATCCTAAATGGGCTTGGGCTTATAGCATAAGAGCCTAAACAATTCCAATGGGGTGGTGGGGTACTTTGAAAGCACCTTTAGGCATGGTCATAGGAATACATTACCCTGCTTCCAGTTACCACTATAGTATGTAACCAGGGGAAACCATCATATAACTCCCTGAGATAACACGAATGCTCTTGTTTTTGTCTGTCCATACAGCCTTGGGCCACAAAAAAAAGTCATGTTCGTTTTTGTCAACATGTTGCTGAACAAACACTGCCTGTGTACGACCAAATACGGCCACCTGCCACAGACAAATGATAGAAAGAGCAGATCCAAATCCGGGTTCCGTCCAAAAAAAAATGGCCATACGGCTTTCCAGGTAGTCAAAAAGCTAAGGAACCGGATGCCCGGGAACCACCACCATACGGCTTTGCAGGTAGTCAATCAAGTATTACGGCCATGGGTCCAAACCCCGTACCCCCAGCGAACATCCTAATCCCCACTAAAATAGGTTCTAAAATGTGTGGTGCACCTATCCCAAAATGGGATCCCATTGGTGTTGACCCACGGCCATACGGCTTCATTCAATTGTTTCGGCACTTCGAACCAAGCTGAATGCACAGCTCCCCCCCCCGGTCCTTGCTGAAGGTGGCCAAGCCGAAGTCGATGAGCTTCACGTCAGAGCCGCTGCCCGGCCGGATCCTCACTGACTCAAACGCCGAGAGCGATACGGATCCTGTGGGGACCCCAAATGGGTATGGGTCCAAATTAAACCACCAGAAATTAGACCGCAGATTTTAGTCCATATTTCCATTTACTAGGGTTCCATTTTGGGTACATATTGTTGACCCACGGCCAGATGTACATCAGAATTCGCTGGGGATTCATGTCCACCAACCGGGTCACCAAGCCCCTTTTGAGGGGGTTCCCTAGTAAAATTCATGGCTGTCTCAGCTGCCAAGATCCGGAAATCAACTGAATACCTATTAAATGGCCGTCTCAGTTGCCAAGAGCAATACTGATCTCAGCCCAGAAATCAACTGGATAAAGCGTCCGACTGGATGAACCTTTGATATCAAGTAGATTCGGACCAGAAATTCTTAATGTGTTGTAGCCAACTCGCAAGGTTGAGCCATGGTTGAGGGCCTATCTCTGAGCAAGGGGGATTTGCGGGCCATACGCCGCCCTCCTCCTTTGGGCATATCTTTTATTCAGGTTGGACACCCCAACATGGGTGGTTGTCCTGCTGGTTTCTCACCCCTTTTTGGCTTGCGGAATGAACCGGAAGGTGTGGAAGAGAGCACCACCGTAAAACTAGATGGCACAACTCCCATGTGACTAAGCAACATGGGGGAATTGACTTCACCGACTACTCAAAGGCTCAAAGGTTCGGAGCAACCTTGCTTCATGTTCCGCGCCAATAGCCCACTGACTGTGGTCCTAAATGATTGTGGTTCATATTTCTAGGGCAAGTTTCCCCATTTCCAGGGAAACCATCAAACAGCAGCAAGGGGAAACAGCTGGCTTCTAGAAAGAGCCATGGTTGGAAAGAAGGGGGAATCAACCCAGGGAATACTTGGTTGCTGTTGACCCCCTCTGCAAAAAGTGAGCAACTTTGTCCGGAAAACGCTTGGATTCAGCCAACAAATGCCTAAAGATCCGTTGCCCAAGAGCAATGCCGTAGTCGTGTCCCCAGCTACCTTTTCGCACCCGAAACATCCCAGAACCCCCCCTCTTTTTCCGAGACTTCGGAACCCCGCTGCTCGCTGACTCGCTGCCTCGCTGCTGCGCTGCTCGGCTCGAGTTCCCCGGGCGCCGGGCTTCATGACGTTGGCCGGCTTGATGTCCCGGTGAAGGACCTCGGCTTGGTTGACGTGGGAAGGGGAGCAAAATTTAAATTTTAGCAGTTAAGTGGTTGGATTTCAACCACTAAACCACAATAAGCAAACATGCAAAATGTTTCCCAACAACAACCATGTCAGCTCAGCCAGTCGATGTGTCGGTGCTGTTCTCAGCTGAAGCCAAACGGCACGGGCTTGCAAAAAAACAACAACACTGGACCCTCGGCTGCCTTTTTGTGCAGCCCGTTTAACTCAAAGCGAACAGACACCCCCTCAAAAAAAAGACAAGGCAACAACACCTAACTTGCCAAGAACTTGCCAAGAACAGCAGTAAAGTAAGAGTGCCCTGTTCGGGGTTGGAATATAGGTGGAAAACCCGAGGAAAACAGAAGGAAAAACCGCTGAACATTGGGGAATTTCACCCGATTTTGACCACATTCATAGATAACGTCTTTGGCTGTCCCCCTTCCAATGCACCGCTTGCGGGAGATCCGGCAACTCCTTGAACAAGGGCAGCATGTGTCATGCTCTCGAAAGAATTGGGAGGCAACTGGCTCGAGACCCATCTTCTCCTAGCCAAGTTGCTGCCTTTTGTCAGTCTGTGTTCCTGGGTTTGTTGGGATAAAGTGGATGGAACAACTTGGTTGCTGTTGTCCCCCCTGCAAAAAGTAAAACACTTTTTGGGGGTTTAGTGGAAACCCAACTTGATTTCAACCAAAGCGTTAAAGTCTAAAGATCCGTTCCCCAATAGCTCCTAGCCAAGTTGCTGCCTTTGTTCAGTCGCTGTTGGGTTAGACCTGCAGCCAAGGAGCTGGGATGACCAGGGAATGACCTCAGCTAGTCCAGTGCCTTGAGGTGTAGTAGAGAGCTTAGAGATTTTGGGTAGAGTCTCCATGACCCTTAAAAATGGGTCCATCATGACTAGAGTTTGGCCCAGTTGTAGAATGTATATTTTATTGTTTGCTTCACTTTGAGTCACTGGGAAAATGTAAAATGTGTCTCAAGTCTACCCCACCCGCAACCCCCCTAATTTTGGGTAATGACCCAATTGTTTAAGGGTCATGGAGACTCCGGGTACCCTTCCTTTTTTTCTGTAGTCTATGTTAGAAGAACCTTCCCCCAAAAGGAAACGGTGAGAAAGGGCACTTAGCTGGGGGACCTAGTTGTGGTGTTTATTTTCCCCCGGAAACTCCTCCAACATGGTGTGTGTCCTTTTGGTGTCCCGAGAAAACCCCCTACAAAACGGGCGCGCAGCTCAAAAAAGGGATCAACCCAAGCAGTGCAGTTGGGTGTTTTGTTGTTGCTGTTTTTGGGTACCCCCCGAATGATTTTCCTAACCTCCCCCCGCCCCCCCCCCCAACAAAAAAAATAAGCCCAGGTGATATCCCAACAGCATGCGGTGCTCGCAGAACCTCGTGGAACCCTCCTGGCGGAACCCTGGTCGAACCCTCGTGGAACTTTACCTCAGGGCCGCCCCGGACCACCCCGGAGCCTATCTGGGCTGAGACCCCAAAGCTTTCAGCTGTTGGGGGAAAAACGGGCACCAGCTCCAAAAAAGGATGGACCCAAGCCGCAAACACCGCAAGTCCCCCCGCACACGGGAGGAGTCTCTGTGTGACTCGATGGGAAGGTCAGCGTAGCTGATCGGAACACAACTTGTTTGCTGTGGATGGACAAAATCCATTTCGCACCACTTAAAACCATGAAAAACATGGTTTGTTGGTATTGACATGTATTCACAGGGACATCATCATTCCAGGGTTTCTTGGGATGGTGCAGGATTCGTCCATCCATAGAATGACATTATGCTTGGGATTTCATCCACTACCTCTGTAACTGATGTCCTCAATTTGGTGCTGTCTCTCTTGTTTTTGACTGGCAAGGGCGAACAAACACGAAGCGCTTGGGTTATTTGTCCATTCTTTGCAACACGAAGTAAGGAAACTGCAGGTGTCGCTCCTATTATCCCGTTTTCTCAGCGCCCCAAAGAAAGCAGCTGCTTGGCTTTGAATTGAAGGCGCCCAGGACAAAACTCGGCACATCTTTGTGGGGGCGAAAGCCTAAACTTGCTGGTTCTCAGTAGGCCATCACCAGGCGGTTTGGGAATGAACCAGAAGGGGATCCCCGCGGAACCAGTTGGAGAGGCTGATGGGGGCCATTCCATTTCTCATTCCATGCATCTCTCGCACCAGCAACAGGACATCGGGGCATGGGAAAGAAAGCCAATGGGAACCGCCATTGGCTAAAAAAATGAGGCGCTTGGGGCCAAGGCAATAGTTCACCGCCAGCAAGACTTGACGAACATAGCGACCCACCTGAGCAACCCGGAACCAAGCAGCAACGTGTTCAATACATGTAGTGTGTGTGTGTGTGTGTGTGCGCATGTGTTTCTCTGTGTGTGTTTGTGTGTGTGTGTGTCTGTGTCTGTGTCTGTTTTCAAGGTTACCCTTTTTGGGGCTCTGTTTAGGAGAAACCACTATAAAATTCCTACTTTGCTCAGTTGCCCGAAGTACCCAGATACCAAAGGTGATCACCTTTTTGGAAACCAAAATGTCAAAAGGTCGATTCACTTTGGGCAAGTGGCTTTGACATATACCCAGTTGGGCATGTCCCCCGCAATTCCACTTATCTTGACTCACATCGTCATTTGCATCACGCAAATTCTAACGGGAACCCGCAAGGGCGGGAAACCCAGCCTTGCGGAAAAACCAAAAGAACCTGAAGCCAAGAGAAAATTCCACCTTGCCTTGTCAGGAAAACGCAAAAGAAGGACAACTCCAACAAAAAACGGCCACAAAACGACCCAAACAAAGGTCAGGGGGCCCATGGGACCGTCGCTTGCACGGGACACAGGACACTATCTTTTTCTTTGCCTCCGATTACGGAACCTTGCGATCGAACACGAATTGGTCACGACACACTACGGTAGTCTCTTGGTACCGAAGGTCGCCTCTTGGCACCAACTTCTTACTAGGTCCTCCAGTAGAGAGGTTAGAATAAGTTGGTACCGCCTTTTTTCAGGACGTCGATTTTAGGCACGGAAAACCCTCCCCCCGAAAAAGAAACGGTAGAGAAGGGCACCAAGCTGCAAACCCCAGCTTACCTTGCTTTTATCCTCTCACCAAATGTGGAAGTGCAGAGATCCCATTTCGAAAGGAAAGGAATGTCTTGTTTCAAAGGGGTCGGTGCACCAACCCATGGGAGGGAGAAGACTGGACGCAGAGCTGCTCAAAAGGTGTGGCTCATTCATCTTGTGTTGATGGTACCAACCTTTTGGTCGCTTTTAAAGGGACCCTCCCCCCAAACAAAAACACGGATCACAACCTTTTTGGTCGCTTTTGAAGGGAAACCGACCGAAGACCGCGTTGAACCCAAGAATTGTGGAGTCATTCCACCGCCCGGAAACCGAAAAACAAACTCTCCTCGCGGCTCCCAGCCTGAGCCACTGGCAGGCCGCCGCCTCGAAAAAACGCGAAGTCGATGCGTTGGCTCCGGGCCCTTTCGTCGCCACGGCTTTTGTTTTCCTTGCTGCGAAGTCGGTAGCTAGGTCCTCCAGATTTGAGAGGTTGGAATGAGTTGGTACCCGATTTTTTTTCCGTAGTCTATTTTAGTATCCCCCAAAAAGGGTAAAAGGGCTCTTCTGGGGGGCCTAGGTAGGGAATGAGAAAATGGAATGAAGCGGTTTTGGACATTCGCGAATAAAGGAAACCAGAGGATGGATGATTTATCTCGGGGTCGTTCCATATCTAATTCCCTGCATCTCTCGCACCAGCAAGTCTAAGGCTTGGAAGCTTGGACCTTCGCAAAAAAAAAACACAAAAAACAAAAAAACGTGGGGGGGGGGGGCTGGTCAAAGTGTTGCCCAGCAAAATGGTCAAAGCTTTGATCGTCCAACTCGAAAAGTGAGACACACCGGAAACGGGAGGGAGGTTTGCACCCAAATATGAGGCTGGCTCCTCGTGGTTGTTTTTGAAGGGCAAACCAAAAGGAAGCCTCCCATTTTGGAAGCATAGTGGTCAAAAAGAAACCAGAAGGACACCAACCACTTTGGGCGCGCGGGCCTTACTGTTGAGTATAAAGCCAAATGGTAAACCGGCCTTGCGGTCCAAATCCAATTTCAACCTTCAATGCTTTTAGTCGAACTAAGCTAGATTCTTTGGAAAGGGTGGACAAAAAGAGAACTGTTTGGGGGCAAGCCGCAGGCAACGTGGGGGTGCCTTTCAAAAAGGTTGGACCTTTCAAAATGGTACGGAGCCCCTCTTGGTGTCCTTTCAAAGCCACAAAACAACAGGTACCAACATGGTTGCACCCATTCCGCTTGGATTCCTGTCCAACAAATCTTGGCCCCTAAAACTGGTACATGTCCTTTGGTTGCATCCCCCCCCCACTTGCGACATTGCAACGTGGCTGGAACACCATCTGCTCATGTGCGCAAGGGGAGAGCGAGTTGCAAAACAGTGGCAACCAGACGATTCCCTTAACTCACTTGCCCAAAGGACCCAGAAACAAAAGGTTAACCTTTTGGGACCTTTACTAAAAATGGTTGCCAAAAAGGGAAAACCTAAAGGTCAAAAGGTCAAAAGGTCGTTTCGCTTTGGGCAGGTGAGCTAAAGTTGCAAGCCGGGAGCCGGTGGGACCTCTAGCTTCGACTTTGCCGGACATTGGACTTGTGTTGCCATCAAGAATCCGGCATATCTCCCCAAGCGGTTAGACACAATGGCGACAGTCATGGGTGTCTTTTGATTGACGGAATGTCAAGGGAGATCATTTGGGAGTTTCTCAAAATGTTGGACACCCTATTGGTTGTTGCTTCAAGGGAAACACTTTGCGGAGCTCCGCAAGTCCCGAGTTGAAGGACTTCCCCCCCCCCTTTCACCGCTGTCCGGATGCATCCCAAGCCGCGATGAAGTTTCGGATGCCTGTGAATCGTACGGGGACATGGGGCTTCTACATGAAACATGCCCCACAAAAACATCAGACAGATTCTGTCCGTTTCCACCGCCGAAATTGGCCGTGGCTCACATCAAGTTGAGCTGGCCCTCTTTGAAAGTGAAGTCACGGAGAAGAAATCCAGGGCCCCCTGGGATTTGATGCGTAGAAAGGCAGGCCATTGTCTCAAAACAGGCCAAAAGGCCCCCCCCCACAAACAATTCGCAGGCCGGAATGATGGACGTCCCCATCATCAAACAGGGGTCACTAGATTTCCACAAACCCACAGTTGATGAATTTACTGGTGGTTTCAGTGGCTCTTGGGAAACTTCCTGAGCCTCTGCAGCAAGTGATCGTTGCGGCTCTTGGCGAAACTTCCATGCCAAGGAGAAACGCCATGAAGTCAGATTCTACCACGTAGTTCCTGCAGGAGGCCACTTCCCCAAAGCCAGGTCAAAAGCATCAAGCGCTCAAAAAAAAAAAAAACATCACCTCTGGGCCTCCCGGCGGCTGAAGCTAATCTCTTGCTGCAGATCCCCGCCGGTACATACCTCGCCTGCGAGGTCTTCAGGCGGCGAGAGATGGGATCAGGGCCGAAGGAGATGGGATCCTTCAACATGAGGTCCTCCAGAGAGGTTGGAATAGGGGTATTCGTTGTTTTTTCCCCTCCAATTTTAGTAGGGGAATGTTGAAAAAAAGGGTGAGATCTGGTCATGTTGAAAAAAGGGTAGTAGAAGGGTGCCCGATGTTTTCTGTAGTCTGTTTTAGTAGGGGAACCGAATCTCCCAACCAAAAAAGGGCGCCCTTTTTTCTGTAGTCTATTTTAGGATCGGGAACCGAATCTCCCAACCAAAAAAGGGGTGAGAAAGGGCACTGGGGGACCTAGATGAGATACGACTTCTTCACGGAGCGGGGGAGCAGAGATGGGTGAAACTCTGGGCAGCCGAAACCCAGCCTGGCTTGGAAGCCTTTCTGACTTGCCCAAAGCCGACCTTTCGACCTTTGGTTTCCCCTTTTTGGTCCATGTTTTGCTACCACCGTTATTTGTGGGTGCTTTGGGCAACTGAGCTTAACGCTACCAATGCTTAGTTTCGTTGCAGTCAAACAAATCAAATCCTAGAACATCACAACAAATCGATCACTTGCAAGTAATACTTTATAACGTTGCCGACCATCATATTGGCAGTCTATTGTCATTTTGCCCCCCCCTCCCCCCAAAAAAAGAAGAAGAAGAAGAAGAAGAAGAAGAAGAAGAAGAAGAAGAAGTTGGCTTTCCTTTTGGCTAATTGAAGGTCAACCAAAAAGGAACCGAATCCCTAGCCCATGTTCCAGTGAACACATCTGGTATCTCAAAATCAAAGGACTCCTCATACAGAGCGCTCATCTTGAGGATGGCCCGTCTGCGGTGCTCATGGCACCCCTTCAACTCATGGTTTTCATGGCATCTTCCTTTCACCATGTGCCCTGTATCCCAGATTGCGAATTGTTCTCTGGGCTGAGGACCCTACTATTCAGCCAAACAAATACATGTTTGTTCTTGCTTTGCTAAAAGGGGAACCACCCCTGATTACGTTCCTCCCGACTCATCTGAAGCTGACCTTTGGCAAGAAACACACATATATAAACGAGACCCATGTGCCATTTGGCACCCAGCAGTTCAAGCTGAAACAACCCTGAGGGTTCAAACTTGTACCCTAGCGACCCATACAAAGACCGCACACCTCTAACCTCCTCGGCCCGAGGTCAGCATCACATGTCGCGAGCCTGAACATTAAGTTGCCCCTGACTTCAGCACTCGTTTCAAGGGTAGGATGTCAACCCCTGACAATAAAGTCCATTTACCATGAACGGCCTGAGTTGCAAAGGATATACCCTGAAACAAAAACGGCGATATTTGGAGTAGGGGGCCTATGCATCACTGACAAACGGGAGTGAAATCTGGTTCTTTCCTGCGCCGAAGCTCTTGCTTCCTCCTTCTATGCAAGCTTTGAAGCAGCAGAAACACGTCGTCTTGGAATCTCTTCAACATCATCCATCCCGAGCGAGGCAAGTTCGGTCGACATGAATCATGCTGCGAGTTCCAGTATCACCTCCAAGGTTCAAGTAACCAGTTTGAGGTTTGGGTACCTAAGAACTCCAAGGGTCCAACAGCTGGGCCCCGTGACTCGCGACCCGAGACTTGGGGCCCCTGCAAATCACATAGAAGGCCGGGTCGTGCGGACCTGCTTTTCGGCAACCCGAATACTAGGTCCTCCGGTAGAGAGGTTAGAATAAGTTGGTGCCTGATTTTTTTCTGTAGTATATTTTAGGATCGGGAACCCTCCCAACCAAAAAAGGGTGAGAAAGGGCACTACTGGGGGGACCTAGAATAGGTTTTGGACGGGACTCAAGTGGAAAAGCCAAGTTGAAGGGGCCTTAACGGGTGCTTCTGGACGTCTTAGACTTCGTGCCCATGTGACGGTGGAAGGTGGCCCCCCTCATTTCAGCGTCCCTCTGATGTTTGTGATCTTTTCAGGGGCCCGAATGCGACCAAAATCCGCGCCTCCATGTTCGAAGTGGTCAAAAATGCCTCAGCTCCCACGGAGTCCAACTTGTGCCAAGTAAAGCCTATGATGGGTCTGTTTTTTTAGGTTGGACCCCCCCGCAAGAAAAAAAAGGTTTCCCGCTTGGTTTCCCTTTGAAGTAGACCCACAAAACAGGTACCTTATTTTATTAGTTTTGAAGGAAGACAGCCCCAACTGTTCCGGTCCCGGCCAACTGGCCTTGCCAACCTAAGCACCGCAGGGCGCGGGAACAGCCCACCTTCAGGCGCAGCGAAAGCATCCCCACTGGCACCTGATCCCAAGCTGCTCTTCGGCAACCACCTAGATAGCCAAGATACGTTTCATTTTTTTGTGTGTGTTTTTCTTTTTTCTCAGTCACTGTTGCTGACTTTTGGGGTGACGGTGGAAAAAGGCGATCGCATTCGGATGCGATGGGCTTTCCGAGAAGAAGGGCCTTGCGAGTCGCCATGGGCCAGGAATTGCGGCCGCTGAAGGTTTTGAGATTAGGAGAACCAAGTTGGAAGGTGCAGACTGATCATAGCTTTCCAATTGTGTTGCCCCCCCCGGCAAACAAAAAACGTGCCATAGTGACAGATTCCCTTGAAAACCAACAGCGCGAAAAATCAACAAATAAATGGTCTCAAGCAAATGGAAGTATGCCTTTGCTCCCTCAAGGTTATCGAACATGGATGACCCCAAGGTGTGGTTTTCGCGGGCCGAGGGGGTTCCATTTCCGCGCCTCATGGGGCCGTGTCGGCTTGGTCAATTTGAGCTCGGTTTGAGTTGCTTGCAACTTTGCAAAATTCAGATATACCATAGCAATATCATATGTCTCAAATTGCTCCAGATGTACCTTGCATAGCAGTATATACTTCCAAAGCCAGATGTATGTCAGCAATACCATAGCAATACCAAAGCTACCCGCCCACCCACCCAGCCCCCTTTTGAGCTGTTGTGAGCTCGCCACAAACTCGGGACTCATTGCTACGAATGGTTCAATCGGCCCATTAAAGAACATGAAGTTGCCGTCGCCGGTTCCAGAAGCAAAGGCTACTTTGGCGCCGAGCCTTTTTTGGGGTTAGTGTGGAAGAAACGCAAACCAAAAGCCATTCGCCTCTGCCCAAAGGGAAGCCAAAAGACCACCGGACGTTTGCCACTGCACGAAGGGAAACCGCAAGAAAGCCACCCATGTGCCAATGCAAGAAAAGAAACCAACAGAAGACCACCCATCTTCCTGTGCTTCAATGCTTAAAGTGAAACCACAAGCAAATCTCCCATTTGCCACTGCTTGGGGGGAAGCCAAAAGAATTCGCCCGGCTGCCACTGCTTTAAGGGCCATTTGCCGCAGCTTAATTCTTCTCCCCCCCCCCTACACCCCCCCCCAAACAAAAAAGAGAAGAAAAACGAGGAAAAGCGAAAACCGTATTTTTTCCCCACACCCCACCCCCCCCCCAAAAAAAAAAGGAAGGGAAAAGCCACAAACAAACCGCAGATTTGCCACAAGAAAGCCGCCCGCACATTTGCAACTTAACGGGAAGCCAAAGCGGCGGAGGATGTGCGGGTGGTCCAGCGCCTTGAGCACCGCAATCTCCTCAGATCCCGGAACTCTGGCCGAGAATTTATCTGCGCAGCATTGACTGAATCTGGCACTTCCTGCAAAGATCTCGAGAACATGAATCCTTCCTTTACGTACACAGTTCCTATGTGCTTGTTCAGGAATTGATGTGTGACCTTCGAGTTCAAACCTCCAAATCATCCTTCCCAGACGAAGACCAATGAGTTCTGTGTCAGCTGAGTTCTGGCTTCTCAGATCAAGAGCTCCCACCCCCTCGTTTTTTCTTCCCCTGTCCAAAGCCCCAACTACTGCCCCAAAAAGCAGTGGCTGAGAACCGGGTAGGATCTGGGATCCTTCCATTTTCGTGCTCGCCCCTCCCTCCCCCAAATATCGATCAAACCTCCCGCTTTCGCAGGGTAGGCAATACTCCCTGCAGTGAGCTCCACAGACCAAGATTCGCAGGTTTCCATCCGAGAAAAGCCGTGGATGTCATGTCCATGGTAAGCTCATCGGCCCGAGAGGCCCCAAATGGGTCTTGTGGCTCACGGCCAAGGCTCGTTGCGAATCGCGTTGTGGTCTGACGCCTGCTTCTGGATGACCTGGAGGGAAGAGGACCTAGATGTAGAAGCAATCTGCCTTTCTTGAAACTTATTGGAATCGTTGTTGAGGAATTTTCGCTTGAGCTTCCCCTTTGAACCTTGGCCAAATGTAGATAGAACCCAACTGCTTTTTTTTAAACTTATCGGAATCGTTGTTGGGGCTTTCTCGTTTGAACCTTGCCACTGTTTGTTGGGTCGGACACATTTTGCTCCACCCTGTAGCTGGGGACTATTAGCTATTCATCAACCAGAATGTGGGAATCCCCAAGAAACAAAATTCGCGCGGCTCGTCCTGTTATGGCCCGGCCCCGAAGGTGGGTGTCCGTGAGACCGCGGGGGGAAGGACGCAACTTGCCTGTGCCGCAAGGCTTCTCCAAGGTTCAACAGCTTTTCTGCCCAAAGGAAACTCACAGGTTCCCAAGAAAGGCCCGGTGTTGTCTTTCATGCCGTTTGCCCTTTTCTCCCCCCCCCCCCCCGTTTCACCGCGCCCCCCCCCCCCCCCGGCGGACTTTTTTTAAATAGTCAACGGGATGTCAATCTCCTCTTGTCATAACTAGAGTTAGGCCCAGTTATAGAATGGAATGCATATTTTGTTGTTTGCTTCACTTTGAGTCACTAGTAAAATGTATCTCAAGTCTACCCCAGATTATTACTAGTCCTACCGACTCCTTGAGCGCGACAGAAACGCTTGGAGCCACGACGCGCCTTGCAGACCACTGCCTGGCCCGACTTGGCGTCCCGGGCATCGTAGACCAGGCCGAAGCCGCCTTTGCCTCGCGACCACCGGAACCCAAGTCGCTTTCTTCAACAAGCAAAAGGTCGAAAACTCCCCCCACCCTTCGAAAGCTATGTACAATTTGTGGAGGTATCTGGAAGACGAGTTTCCATTTAGGGACCGAATTCCCTCTCAGGTGCCATGGCAACGTGGGCAGGGTACTCCATGTCTCCGGAAGGCTCCATCCGCCACCCTTCGGCCTTCAAGAACCCCAAAAGGGGTATCCTCAAAGGGTTGGTCTCCAAAACGGATCCCTGAAAATGGCAACGGTTTCCCTTTGGGCAAAAGAAGGAAAAAGACGCCCTCAAAAACATTTTGCGCTTGAACGGTAGCAAGGGACTCTCAGGGGCAACCTGTTCCTTTCCATCAAAACGACCGTTGGCTGCACACAGTTGCTTAGAACAGAACTGCGCTTTTCACCTAAGGCAAACAGAGAGCTCCACAGGATCTCACTCGTGAATGTACCTTTTCCGGGCTGAAAAGGCATGGACTTGCGAAGCCATCCCCGAATGTTTTCCCAGAGAAGTGGCGTGTTCTTGCCTCGAATTGCCTATATACCGGATGCCTAAACCAACTCAAGAGCAAAATGTAGGAGCTCAATCCTGATAAACCGGATACCTTGGGGCTCCACATCGCAATGCAACTCATACGAAAGCGCCCGACAAACATGCAAGGGCAACCATCTGGGCAACGTACTAATAACTTACTCTGATTCTAAAACCGCCAAAACAACAAAACAATATGTAATATATATATATATGTTCATACATGTATATATAAGCAACAAACAACCACCAGGAAAAAAAACTTCCAAGGGCGTTAGCTCGTGTTGCCCTCCAAACACATCGGATGAGCGAAACCCAGCCGCCACTCCGCTCGCCTATGGGGCGCACCAGGCGGTAAACCGCTTGCAGGGGCTCGCCTTGCGCACGTGACATGCGAACCCTGGAAGGTCTTAAGCCACTGCTTCGCCAAAAGACTTCGCACATCCACCTGGGTCTACTCAGAACCATGTAAATAATTTAGAAGGCGGATATCTGAGCCAGAAGCCCTTGGCTTCTCTCAGAATTCTAGGGTCTGATTTCTTGTCCATTCTTTTCAACCTTCGTTCTTTTCAACAACCAGCGGTTTTGAAGGGTTTTTGATGGCTTCCTGAACAGAAGGATTTCTGGAAAGAATGCGGAAGGTAGCCCTATAGAAGAAGGTTCCTCGGAATCGACCCAAAAGATCCAGAGAAGCCCAAAAGCCATGGTGAGCAGGATGTCCAAAAGCCTCAGTATCCAAAAGCCTCAGGTGCCGGGTAGATGAAGGACACAACCTGCAGATGTTGCACCCCAATTACTCCGCGTCAAAGCTCGTGCCGAGAGCATGACCAAAGTAAGCCGGAAATGACCTGGCTCAAGATGAACGCACAGCCGCTCCACAAAATACTGGAGGCAGGTTGGGCGGTGTTCCAAACACGCACTCTGAACCCTTGAGTGAGTCCTCTCAAGGCTCCTAATTAAGGCTCCCTATGCAAAATACAGGACTTGAACTAAGATTTAGCTAGAAATTGAACAGAGGAAAAAACATGAGGTGTCTTTTCAGTTTTCAATGAGGGGGCTAAAAATGTATTCCTTTCCAGGTATGGCTTTAATTGTCTAATATTTCAATCGGGATTTCATGGGGAAGGGATTTAATCAGAATTGCTATGTGAACTTGAGATGAACATTGAGTAGACATGTGTCTAAAAGAAGGGGGCATTGATTTGGATCTGTGTAGATGTGACCCAACACGGACAGAGGTGATACTGAGTTGTTTGGCTTGCAATTGGAACCTGAAATGTGACATACAATTCACTCATGCGTGCAGATGTACAACTGACACAGAAAAGGTAGATCATGGAGCATGTGTATACATATATATATATATATGCTTATATAAATGTATATGCTCTATGGTCACCCCCCCATGAACTACCTTTCCTGCAGTGTATCAAAAAGTGTTAAAACACTGTAATTTTGCATGTTTGTTTTGCTTTTTAAAGGACGCCATTTAGAGCAAAATGGATTCCGTTACGCGGTTGCATTCCGATATTTGTAACGAGTTAGCAAAAACAATCAGTTTTTGCATTGCTTTACTGAATGTATTCAGAAAACACCCTGTTGTTTAGCAAATTTTGTAATTAAAATCGAGACAATGAAGCGCACAATCAAAACACTCATCAATATGGACCAACAACCCAACACATTTTTTGTTTTTTCCAAACGTTTCTTTTGTTTTTTCTCGAGTTTTTTTTGGTTTTCCTCGAGTTGTTTGGTGTTTCTGGGTAGAAACCTGAAAAACTCGATGCTTTTGGTTTTAGTCTTATTTGATAGAAAACCAAAAAACCTCGAGTAAACCAAAAAACCAAAACTCTGAGCCAGGCCCCCCCGATGGCCGGTAATTGGCGTCCCGGGTGAAGTGCCGGCAATTGACCAGCACTTGCTTAAAAATTGTTTTGTAGTCACATAGATTTGTTTCCATCATCAAAGTGCAGTGAAAAGTCACTTTTGTTAAAACGTCACTTCAGAAATACTAGAGGGGATCCAATTGAGGGGCTGGGCTGGACATGCACCGCGCGGGGGGGGGGAGGGGGGGCGACACGCTGGTGACACGCTCATATCCCAAGAAAAGTGACCGTTCAACGTACATATGCCGGCAATTGGCCACCCCCCCGACACGCCGTGACACGCCGTGACACGCTCCTCAAGAACCCCTCCCAACCTCAAACTTGCCATCCAAACCTCAAATTTGCTGCTCTCCCCTTTCCCCTGCAACCCCATTCCAAAGGACCCTGAAAGGTCACTTGTATCATTGCACAAATTGCACTAAGTACAGATGAGTGATACTTGATAGCAAATTGCTTTTGCAGTCACTTAGACATAAAGTGACATCGTTTTGCCCAAAAGCGATGTGCCGGCAATTGGCCAGCCATTGGGGGGTGCTGGAGGACAAGGTTTGGTTTTGCCAAAAGTTAGTTGTTTTGGGTTTTCTCGAGGTTTATTTGTTTTTTGGCGTTCCTCGAGTTTTTTGGAACAACTCGATGGTTTATTTGATAGAAAACAAAAAACCTCGAGAAAACCAAAACAAATTCATCAAGACTTTAGGTTCTACTCAGAAAACCAAAAAATATCTAGGAAAACCTAAAAAACGAGAAAACCAAATAAACTGTTGGCAAAACAAAAACTTGTCCTCAGAGTCTGTTTTTCTTGAGCTTTTTGGTTTCTATCAAATAAGATTAAAAACCAAAACACCATCGAGTTTTTCAGGTTTCTACACAAAAAACATCGAGGAAAACCAACAAAAAGCAAAAACAACTCGAGCAAACCAAAGACGAAAACTTTTGGCAAAACCAAAACTTGTCCTCAAACCAAAAATATATTGTTTTATAAGGTGACCACTATATACGTATAGAATAAGGCATATTTGTTCCATATATCTTTCTTTCGGACTCTGTCATCGCAGGACAGACAAGATCACTTCTGAATGTACTTTGTCATCAGAAGATTCCACCCGGTGCTAGGTTGAGGGGCATTGTCTTTCAGTTGCTTCCCATCCGACATTGGCCTAAAACTCTCATTTCTGACCGGGTCTACAAGCCATCCTTCAATGAACATAGATCGATCTATCCAAAAAATGGGTTGCCTTTCCGGACCCCATGATGAGAATCTCATTCCAATGCACAGCGACCATGCTATGACTGGAAGCGGCAGTCTCGTTCTCTCAACGACACGTGCTACCTTACATGAGATGTAACATAACAGTGAACTTAGGCGACTTGCCAAGCTGCTCGCAAGTCGCCTACCCTGAGTTAGTAAGTCTGCCAAGTCTGAATTAGCAGACTTATTAACTCAAATTAGACAACTTGTAAGCGGATTAGCATATCACCTAAGTTCACTAACTACATAGAATGAAGGTCACCCATCCAAGCGAGGAACAGATGATTTCTTGATGTACATTGAGGATATTAGCTTAATGTTTAAATGATTTGCTTGTTGGGATTACAGATGCAGATGTTGGATGGCTTGGGAGGAAGTCTCACAGATGACGAATTTGAGTGCAGATGAGGGCTTGCAGTGCAGGAAAGGTAGTTCATGGAGGGGGGGTGAGCTATATATATATATACACATGGTTGTTTGCTGTCAGGTGCTGCTGTGTGGGGAGGGATTGCATTTTGGGCATTGAGCAAGTTTGCCAAAAGCTGTCCTTCTTGGCCCCGGTGTTTTCAACTGAGTCGCAATCAAAACCTGGTACGCAACCCAAACGGTTCATATGAGTAGTCACAACCCGGAGAATGATCTGCTCCAGCGAACTGCAATCAGACAGCCGAAAGGTGATACCCGAAGCTTCCCGTCGGCTTGAGGAATTGAAAGCTGCCCTCCCACGTTGCCATGGCAACTGAGAGGGGGTCCCTGCAAAAGGAAGTTCATCTTCCAGGTACCTCCCGGTGCCATGTTAGTTGGAGGAAGGGTAACCCAAAGAAAAGCTATGTCGTCTTTTAAAGGCGAAACGACCATCCCGGTCTGTTGAAGGGGGCTACCCCCGAGGGAAACAGTCTATGCGCATCCCACCTTATCCACCAGCCTCGAGCGCGTATGAGATCTGCTTTGTGGATGCCCTAGGCAGGCAAGTCTTGAACAGGGATCCTTACAGCAAAAAAACCTGAACATTGCAACTTGTAAATGCTGGTCTCGTGTTTTTTTCTTTTGGTGTTGAAAAAGCAACATGTTTCAAATGGTGGCAAAATGGAGATCTTTAAGGAGCCCTGTTGAAGTTGAAGGGAAACTCAAAAGGCAAAGGTGCCGTGTATCCATCTCACTTGAGTCGATTGGCCATCAACGGTCCAGGCGTTTTGAAAGTTGCCACTATGGTATTCGCAAAAAAAAAGAAGTCCAGAGACTCAGGGAGCCATACATGCGAAACCATAGCATGTTCGGACACCTTTGAAGGATAGTTTCCCATGAATAAGCCAGGATTGACGCTTAATCACCCCCAAACAACTAGGGCTCACACCAAGGCTTCATACATCACATGGGCTTATACATTCAGCCTTTGACTAACGACCCAGATCTGAAAAAAAAAAAACAAAAAAAACGGTGACGTCTTTTGACATGAGTCAATAACTCACACAGTGCGCACATGGAATTTGCATCAAGGAGTTTCTCTTTGGCTTCCCTTTCGACTGGCTTGGCTTTTTCCCTGAGCAAAAGATGGACTGAAGAAGGTGTAACTACTCAAAAGACCCATTGTGTGCAAAAGGTCTAAGTTGGCCTCCTTGTGATCTGCACGCATCTCCGAAGTGACACCTACAGACTGGCAAAGGTCCTTTTGGGGCCTTTGGGGGGGGTCGCACTCACCACCCTTCATTGAAACCGAAACCAACCATTTTCCCACGCCTTGCCCTTCCGCAGCACCAGGGTATCCAGGAGAGGGTCCAGATCCTGCCAAAAATCCGGCGCGCGGATTATGGGCTCCCTTGGCTTCCTCAAAAATCCACCCCTACAGGAAACCCACTGTCTTGGCTGGAACTAGGACCCCAGCAAAAAAAAAGCCTGGTTACTGGAAAACAAAGGGAACCCCCCCGCAAAAAAAAGGGGGAACTAATTCTGGGGAAGCACTGACGTCCCGAGGTCATCATTGAAACCAAAGGAAGTAATGATAGGGATCTGGAGTTTCGTGGCGGATTCGGACGAACAATCCGTCCACTGTTGGTGCATCAACCCCGATGCCCTCACCACGCAAGAGGCAGCCAGAGAGCCGAGAGAAGGCGGGAGATGGATCCACAAATGTCAAGGACTTGCGCTGCGGCGTGGAAACCAATGCTGATTCAATAAGCGCCAAATATGCAGATGAGCATATATCATCGTATATGTACCATATATATATATACTGTAATATATATGTATATATGCACTATATATATATATATGTACACATACATTTTATTTATACTATATATATATAATATGCCAAAGTGGGGACGTTTTTACATATTTGGTACAGCGTTGCCAGCCCCCAGCCCGCCCCGCCAATGGTCGTTGGGTCAGACAAGTAAGCCCTTCTCGTCTCGGGAAGGGGTGAGGGTCTGAGGATACCATGATGTCATGGGGTGCATCCGAATCTCTCGGGGAGGAGGTAGCAACACAGCACACGGGACATTCGGGGGTTAAGCCATAATCCTGGCCCCAAATGACCATGGCTAACTTTTCCCATTGCAATTGCACATATACAATATCTTCTCATATATTTGTTTCCATCGCCATCCCACGAGGACCTTTTGATCCACCCCCCAAATTCCTGCAAAAAACAAAAAAATCCGGCCCCGTGTCCCGGCACGAAGAGACACCGAGCCCTCCGACCTCAGCACCAACCCCCCCCCCCCCCCGCCCGACTCCGAGCGACCGATCGACTCGAGCCGACTCCCGCTCCTGGCCCGAGGGGCCGGCGCCCATGGCGCGGTTAGCTTTGGCGCCAGAAAAGGTCCCAACACGATGAGCTCTATCTGGGGCTTATCGACATGAACATTTACTCGTGGTATGACTTATTTTACGCATTTTTTGGTCCACCTTGAACCAAATTCGATTATTTACATTATAAACTTTAAATGAACTTTGGTCGTTGTCCTTATAGACTCGGCTTCATGCTCAAAACCAACCTTCAATGATTCAAGCATGCTTTGCAAACACAAAAGAAGAAGGAAAAAGCAGCGCCGAGCTTCGCTCGTCCCCAGGACTCCGTGTGGCGAGCTCGTTTTGACTCAACCCGCGGATCGATCGCTGAGCTGGACACAGTAAACTCCATGTCCATGTCGTTCTTTGGCAACCAAAGGAATCACCGCAAAAAAAAAAACAACAAGAGGAAAATGGCTCCAGGGGTACCTACTAGAGTGACTCGCCTGGGATCCACTGGGCCAGTTCACGGAGCCTGGTAGAAAAGAATGGAGACATTTGGGTGTGGCTCAAAGTTAAACAGCAGGGGCAAACCGCAGGTTTTGAAGTCCATGTTTCCACTTACCAGGGTTCCATTTTGGAATTCCGGTTTTTTCAGCCCCAGCCATTTCTTTTAAAGGTTGACTTTAGATACTTTAGTCGGGATATCGTCAGACCAAACGGCAAAAAGGGTGCCACTGAACAACCAAAGGGTAGAAAGGTTGAGCCACCGAACAGCTGGGGTTCTTGATTCATGAAGACTCTTGTGTGTGTGTGTGTGTCTGTGTGTCTGCGCAAGCGCCTCTTGCGCGGGTTGGCTTTGGTCCGATGAAGGTGGGTGGGGTTGGCTGGGTGCAGGGAGAAAAAGCTGCAGCTGGAAGCTGGAGCCGGACGCGCGGGAAACGAACGGCTTCTTGGAAAGCAGGTCGAAAGATGTCTTGAATTTATTACATTCGTTCAGCGGATCAAAGAGGGTTGTGGAAGTCTCCTTACACATGCACAAGTGTTGCTACCATGGTCCACTTAGCCATGCCCGCTGCGGGGTTAGCTACTCAGATGCCCAGTGGATTTCCATGAGAAAAAAGGACACCCTTTTTGTTGGTTGAGTCTTTTCAGGGGAACCCTCACCCAAGAAAACAAATGAAAAACGGAAGCAAGCCACTGGGGATTCCCCTCAACATCCACTTCAAGGAAACTCACTTTGGGTGGAAAAGGTGCTTAGTTATATACATCAACCGGGGAAATATGGGCTTGTCTTTCTTTCTTTAGGGGACCTCTTTTTGGTTTGTTTCAAGGGGAAACCAAAAGGAAAACGAGAGGGGGGTCCCTTAAAGAAAGACACACCCATTTCCAGGGAGCGAATCGATTCATCTCGCGGTCTAGTCACACTGATTGACCATGGGGTTGTCTTCCTTGGCTAGAGACATGTGTAGCGCATCCCAGGATCCGCAACCAGATCTTGCTAAACCCCCGTGCTTGTGAAGAAAATTGGCTTTCCGGTACTTTGGGAGATCAAGCGCGCCTTTAGACCAATGGAACATATCGGGACTTCTTGGGAACTTTGCGGGCTGCAAAATGCCCCAAAGCCCCGGTTCCGGCGGGGCCGTCCATCCCAGAGTCAAACACCACACTCAACAGACTTGATAATTAGCTTCCAATGCCCGAGAGCTACAACGTCGCATCACCTGGGCAAATTGCTACAGTTCGCAAACCCTTGGCATCTTGATTTGGCGGGCGGCGTCCAATATAATTCAACCGGGGAAAGGCCGTTCGTGGGTTTTATCGCGATTTACAAAATCCCGGAACGGTGGAATCGCTTTTGATCAGACCCAATGTGCAAGACATAAACTCCAGGTCACTCAAGCCATTAGATACCCGACTAACCTTGCTGTTGCTGAAAGTTGCCCTCAGATACATCCTGTGATATCCCGTGCAATTCAGGAGTCACTTCGATGAGATACAAGCGCCAGAGTTTTTTTTGAGAGCGGCTTGGGACAAATCGGTCACTTGACCCCTTCAGCCGACACTTCAACAGCTATCCAAAAACAATCCGCCTGTGGCAGAGGCTTCGGCCGTGGCTCTTCTCCTGGACACAAAGAAAGAATCATGCCGGGGCCAAGGATCCTGGCTTTTGGCAACCTTTGATTTCATGTGTGTAAGCCCCTTGGAAAAACAATCAGTAGTGAAATCGATTCCCTTTAAAACCAAGGAACAAATGTAAATATTCATCTCAGCAAATAGAAGTGTATCAAGGGCCATATAGCCGCTGCATACTATACACCCCTATCTTCTTTTGGGCCATTGGTCCGGCTTGAGCAGCCCTCTCACCATGTTTGGGAAACTCGGCTGTCCGTTTCCAGATCCCCTGCTAAAGGTTTGCGAGCTTGTGGGTTAAATGAGTTAAATGGAAATCAGCCAAACACAACTAGACACCTAAGGTGCGTGAATAGAGCCACAGGAATTTCTGGAATCGGGGGGTCTCAAATCGAAGACCACCCAACCCCATTTCATTTCGGTCGCTGTCAGGTGCCCGAAAGGCCAAACAACCTTGAAAATGAGCTGCTTCGCAGGGAATGAGAATTGGAATGACCCCTCTTAGCGATGTGTTTTTCTCTAAGGGAACCCCTGGGTTCATTCCCACATTTCCCCACCGAGCACCAGCAAGAAAACAATGTTCTTAAAGGGACAATCCTGACAAACTGGGGGCCAGAAAACAAGAATACCCTCTTTGGGCGAAACTCCTGCACTCAATCGGAACATGGGGTTTCGGTGCACACTTGAAGAAACCGCAACAAGACCCACCTGAATACACAGCCAACCGCGCGAACATGTTGCGTCGAGTTGACAAAGATGTGCAGTTTTTACCTGGAGTCTGGAGCCCTTTTTCGGCTCTGAATTGGGGCAGTTCCTTGGCCCCATCCTGCACCAAAAACTTGAGTGGACGATGGGCTTCAAGAGCAAAGTAGCCTTCCAAGACCCTGCCGTCAGCTTCTATGAATTGAGGGAGAATGCTAACCCCCGGATTCATGTTGCTGTTGAATAGGGGGTATTCCCCTGGGCATCTTTCACCTTCTTTGGGTGGCACCCTACAAGCTTGGCGCTGCAAGTACGCCACGGTCTTGCAGAAAACCCGTGGCCCGTCAAACACCTGAGCCAGCCCTCGTCGCCTCCGTCCACCCGTTTCTCATGACCCCTCCAATGCAGGGCCGCGGGCCCGCTACTGAAGCCGGGCCCCTAGGAGCCCTTGAAAACAACCCATTTTAAGGGCCCAAAAAGCATCGGGAGCCTTCCAAAACCTTACAATATGATTCTGATTCTCTGGGGACGCGCTTCTCAGATCCCGTCACCCACCTTTGGATGCCCCAAACCGGGCCTTTCGCCTCGCCGGCCTCGGAAGTTTCGAACTGGCGCGAGGCTCTCCCCTCCAACAAGCCAAATCCCAAATCAATCGCCAAAGTCCCGACAACTGGTTTTGTTCCCGGCCCCAAAATTCAAAATTCAAAGTCTCCAAAAAAAGTGGTTGGGCCCGGGTGCTGGACACGACTTCGGCTTGACTGGAAAATCGAGGTGTTTACATTGCGCTTTGAACACTTTGACATTTCCCACCGCCGTTTTTTCAGGAAGTCCCCCAAAAAAGAGGCATCCAGCACCCAACCACTGCTTTTCGGCGAGTACTTGGGATTTCGGACAGACAAAGCCGTGGTCGGGGGTCTCTGGATTTCGTCGACTTGTCCCTCAGTGTGAGGGACTCACCGAAAAGTCGCCTCAGCCCGGCACGTCTTCATAGAGGCCAATGTTGGCGCTATTCGCCTGAGAAGCCCATCCTCGAATCTGGGTTATGTGGCGGGTCGCATTCCTGGTGAGCAAACAAGGCTCGGCTTGTCACGCTAACACACATACACGTCTGTTTGTTTTGTGCGTGTGTGTGTGTGTGTCTTAAAACTATTATTTTTGGGGTGCGGCAGCGAAAGGAAGCATGAAACTGTTGCCATCTGAAGGGTCACATCAGTTTTGAATTTCCATGTATTCCTTGCGACATCCCTTCCAACACCCCCCTAAACGCATCGTCCAAAAGAGTATCGTTAGCGGGGCATTGTGGCAATCGTTTCCACGTCTCCATGGAAGCACGCCCAGCGCGAACAGGACATCCACCGCAATAAAATTTGGAGAGCTTCCCTTTTGATGTCAGAAAGAATCATCCACCAGACACGACAAACATGTTTTTATTTACTTAAAAACAAAAAGAGAGGAATGCTTAAAGCTCGGAGACTCCTTTTTTGTTTGGCACATCAACCACTTTACAAGTCTACCTCGGCTTTGTCAAGAACTGGAGGCAAATGCCTGGTGATCAGTGATTCAACTGGGTGAAGGACTCACTACCCCTTTGAAACCCAAAAGAACAGGGCCGTGGGAAATGGAATCCACTGTGATCCAACAAAAAAGGGCTTCCCAAAGACAGGGCTTGCCAAAGACAGGGATTCTCAAAAGTATCGCAGTGGTTGGATAAACCCCGTTTGTGATCCAACCCTGGAATCGAATCCAATTCGCCAGACGACCCCGCCCCCCGCCCTTTTGTATCGGATCGAATCTGGGCAGATCTGGGCCTGCGGCCTCCTCATCCTGGCCCCAAAAGGCAAGGCACGGAACGGCAGCACTCCCGGTCTTCGGGAAACTGGTGACTTCGCGTCTTGACCTGAGAGTTCCTCCTGCTCACTGCATAGAAACTGTCACCCGTTTCAATGCCTGAACCCGTGATTGGCACTTGCACCCATCAGATTTTTATATATATTTTTTAGAGAAAAGAAAACAAAGGGAAAAAACAGGAACTTGAATCCAAGCTTGGAGGTCCCCGAACTTTCCTATCTAAAGCCCCTTTGGTGAGGACCAAACCTTTCAAAAGCTCCAATGAGGCGGAGGCTAGTACAAAGCCTGCTTTGAGGCATACGCATGGTGAGCTTGTTCTGGCCCCGGCTCGCTCGCCATAAAACCGTGTAGCAGAATAAGGCTCCAAAAAGACGAAAGCCTTGCGAGAAAACGAAAGGCACCATTCTGGCTAGTTCCAGGAGGCCCGTACCATCCCAA